TCAGCCCAAGTGATTGAATTAAGGGCTCTGGCCATGGTATTTCAGAGATTCCATGGCATTTCAGAGGTTTCTCAAGTGTTTTGAATTTCGTCAGTTCTGAATTGGGTCAATTTCATTTGATTGTTTTGAAAGCTTTGAGGATGCAATTTGGACCTAAGTTCAATTTCATCACTCAAGCTCTCCATTGAAGACATGACTGCATAAGTAAAGCCATGCATGATTCTTTTATTAAATGCACACACCTTGCAAAAGCAATTCTGATGAATGCCAACAAAGGCTTCACCTGCTGCACCAGAGGCCTAAAGGCTTTGCAGCTGTGGCAAACAGATGTTACTCATCTTGCCAAATTCAAATTTGGCTGATTTAGGTATGTGCACGTGTTGTAAAATACCTTCTTTTCTGTCATATCATACTCACACTGGGAAATGGGTTTTGACAAGCTGTACTGCCAGTCCTTTGACAGTCTGACAATGAGTTGTTACTAGCTTAGAGTTGGTAACTGATTTCTTGAAAATTGTAAGTTTGGAAGCGTTTTGACTGATCTGAGCCAACATCCAATGAGGTTTTGAATTATGATCTAGTGAAACTCAGAGTCGTGTTTGTCCTCTTCTCTGCAAGGTGCCCTGACAAACGCCACCTCCTTCTTTAAAAAAAAAAAAAAAAAAGGTGGACATGTGGGACTCAGATTCAGTCAAAGAGAGAAATGGGAGTTTCTAGCCAGGTAGGAGCTTGGGAAAGAGCTGGAGAAGAATGTAAAAAATTCTCTATCTCTCTTGTTATTCACATTGTTTATAGTTAAGTTCTATCACTGTGTGTCAAGCACTTTGCACCAATGCTTGGGTTGTTTTCACTTAAGAACCAATGGAGTTGGTCGTCATGAATCTCTGTATAAAAGAGCGGTGTATTTTGAATAAATCGGAGTTTTACTCTCAGCAGCCTTCTAGTCAAAGTCTCTTCATTCCCGTCCTGCCTCGACAGTGACACTTTGTTAATAAAAGACAGATGTGGAAAATCTATTATAAACATTATGCTTGCGTATGTTCCCCTTTACTTCATCATGTCACAAAGATTTCACAGTTTTCAGCGGATTTAAGCAAAATACATAATTCACAAAGTAAATGAGCTGAATAGTTAGGATGCAAGTAAGATTTAGAAAATGGCTGCATGGAAGGTTCAAATGTATGACCTGAGACTGTATGTTTAAAACAGTAGTATTTGCCTTGTTTCAGCAAATCTAACATAGAGCAGTGATTGTTCTCCTGCTTCTGTCAATGTGCCTGATTCTACATTCGTTAGTGGCATTTAATATCCTATTTTGTATGTAGCCTTTTGTGAAATTAAGTCTGCATAATTATTCAGTGTAAGTAAAGGTAATGAGTTTGAGCTCAGTGAGACTGTCTCAAGAGACAGCCTATATAATGATTTGTTGATGTATTGACACTTATTGCTTGCTGGTTTCCATCTGCTTCTCAGTTTAACAAAAACTCTGTTTATGAAGCTTTTAAGTATTTCATTCTGCTAAATTTGTAAAAGTCAAATTCAAGACATGGCTGAATCAAACAACTGAAATGACAGCTAATTATAAAAGATGAAGGAAGTATTTAGACTACAAGCATTTGATGACTAATAAATCTTTAGTATCCTCAGCATGAGTTTGCATTCATTACTTTATATTCTGTACAGACCCAAGATGGAATAATCCTTTTTTTACTGATATCCATGTCTTTGGTTGTGCTGTGTTTGGCTGTAGCAATTTCCTTCACAGTAGGTAGTATGGGGCCATGTTTTGTATTTGTGCTGGCAACAGTGTTGATAATTCATTATTGTTGAGCAGGGCTTACGGAGTCAAGGCTTTTCTACTCCTCATACTGCCCTGACAGTGATAAGGTTGAGAGTCCACCATCTGTTGGGAGGGGGCACAGCTGGGACAGCTGACCCCAACTCACCAAAGTGACTTTCAATACCATATGATGTCATGCTCAGCACAAAAATCTGTGAGGAAGGAAGAAAGAGAGGGACATTTGTCTTCCCAAGATGCTGTTATGTGTAATAGAGTCTTGATTTCCCAGGTGTCCTGGGTTGTAAGATAAGCTTGTATTCTATTTGCCATCTGTTGAAGGTTGGGCAGGTTTGTTATCTTTTCCAAGAACAATAGTTTGCTCCAAAGAGGTAATGGTTTGTTAATGGGCCATTGACTGATTCAATGCAGGGCTGGTAACATAACACCATCTCATTGTGAGATGTTCCACCTAGAGGGGGAAGCTAAGCACTTTTTTATTGGATAAAAGGGGTACTTTTTGGGGGACAGAGCAGCTCTCTCTTTGCGGGATTTCCCAGAGAAGCAGCTCTCTCTCTCTCTTTACAGGACTCCCAGAGAAACAGCTCTCTCTCTCTTTGCAGGATTTCCCAGAAACGCAGCTCTCTCTCTTTCTTTACGGGACTCCCAGAGAAGCAGCTCTCTCTCTCTTTGCGGGATTTTGCGGAGAAGCAGCTCCTTCGGCGGGATTCCCAGAGAAGCAGCTCCTTCAGCGAGATTCCCAGAGAAGCAGCCGGAGCGCGGTAAGGCAGCAGCGGCAGAGCTCAGAAGCGGCTCCGGTGCAGAGGAAGACCGACCCGACTGCCACCAGATCTTCAGAAAAAAACTATACCCTTAAAAAATCAGACAAAGAATAGAAATTGACTGTTGACTATAGTGGCTTAAATGAAATGACTCCACCGCTGAGCGCTGCTGTACCAGATATGCTGGAATTCCAATACAAGCTAGAGTCCAAGGCAGCAAAGTAGTATGCCACCATTGATATTGCTAATGCGTTTTTCTCCATTCCTCTGGCAGCAGAATGCAAGCCTCAGTTCGCTTTCACCTGGAGGGGCGTGCAGTACACCTGGAACCGACTGCCCCAGGAGTAGAAACACAGCCCCACCATCTGCCATGGACTGATCCAGACTACACTAAAAAAGGATAAGGCTCCAGAACACCTGCAATACATTGATGACATCATTATGTGGGGGAGCACAGTGGCAGAAGAATTTAAAAAAGGTGAGAGGATCATCCAGATACTACTAGAAGCTGGCTTCGCCATCAAAAAGAGCAAAGTCAAAGGACCTGCCCGAGAGATCCAGTTCCTGGGAGTGAAATGGCAAGACAGATGGCGCCAAATTCCCACTGAAGTCATCAACAAAATCACAGCTATGTCCCCACCCACCAGCAAAAAGGAAACACAAGCTTTCCTGGGTGCCATAGGTTTCTGGAGAATGCACATTCCCGAGTATAGCCAGATTGTGAGCCCTCTTTAACTAGTTACCTGAAAGAAGAATGATTTCCACTGGGGCCCTGAGCAGCAACAAGCCTTCACCCAGATCAAGCAAGAGATCGCTCATGCTGTAGCCCTTGGCCCAGTCAAGACGGGACCAGAGGTCACGAATGTGCTCTACTCTGCAGCCGGGAACCATGGGTTGTCCTGGAGCCTTTGGCAAAAAGTGCCTGGGGAGACTCGAGGCCGACCACTGGAATTCTAGAGCCGAAGTTACAGAAGGTCTAAAGCAAACTACACTCCCACAGAGAAAGAAATCTTAGCTGCCTTTGAAAGAGTTCAAGCCGCCTCAGAAGTAATTAGCACAGAAGCACAACTCCTCCTGGCACCCCAACAACCGGTGCTGGGGTGGATGTTTAAAAGAAAGGTTCCTACTACCCACCATGCCACTGATGCCACATGGAGCAAATGGATTGCCCTCATCACTCAATGCGCCCGTATTGGAAACCTGAATCGTCCTGGGATTTTGGAGATAATTACAAACAGGCCAAAAGGTGAAAACTTTAGTCTCACTAATAATGAGGAGCAGGTACAAATAGCAAGGGCTGAAGAAGCTCCACCATACAACCAACTACCAGCAGAGGAGACCTGCTACGCTCTTTTCACTGACAGTTCCTGTCGCATTGTAGGGATGAACCGGAAGTGGAAAGCAGCCGTATAGAGCCCCACACGCCAAGTTACACAAGCTACCGAAGGAGAAGATAAATCAAGCCAACTCACTGAACTCAAGGCCGTTCAGCTGGCTCTAGACATTGCTGAAAAAGAGAAGTAGCCAAAGGTCTACCTTCATACTGATTCATAGATGGTAGCCAATTCTCTATAGGGCTGGCTAGAAAGGTGAAAGAAGGCCAACTGGCAACG